TGGATAAAAGCTACATTACTATACTGATGGAAAACCTCAAAATGCAGCCCTGCAAATTCATCTGGGTATTTCTAAGGACCCAGAAGAACTTCATCCCAGAACTACATTAGCCTGTACTTCTAAGGGACACTGAAGCCTCATAATTTCTATTGAGTTACTGATGTCTCGCAGTCAGAGTCCTCGTCTTGTAAACATTACAGATAGCTCCATGGAAACATATTCAATCTTGAATCACAGAACAGTCCCCAAATTCCAGGTGACATCACTTCAGTATTTCATTTCCATCCATCTATTTCTATTTCATTCCAATCCACTGCAGCCTAAGGACCCTGAAAGGAAGGGAACAGGAGGGAAATTTAACCATCCCCTTGACCTTCCAAACCTGCACCTTTCTAAGAACATAAATCAAAATATCAATCAAGAAAAATCACTAATCTGAACTACCCAGTTAATTTTTCCTGTCTTCATGCCTACATATGAGGGTGGTGATGACCATTCACTCCAGGCTGTACCCGCTGAAGTGATGGCAAGGACAAGTTATATTATATAGATTAATCTGATTTATTACATCAGTGTAATATAACGCTTGAAACTTCATACTTGGAAATGTAGAAATACAAAACTGTAACCCACGAGCAGCCTAATTTCAGCCAAGAGGCAAAATGCCCTTAGTACAGAGTGTGAGGAGATGAGAACAGGCTATGCTCTCCAGTAATGGATTTATCCAGGTTTTAGAGGTGCATTCTCAACATGAAACTCATGTCACTGATATTGCAGCCTCATATAAGTCACGGGTCATCTAAAACCATTAGAAAGCTGTAAATAGAAGTACTGTGGTCAGACTACCTGATGAACATATAATAAATTCAAATGTACCCATTACTTATTACATAACCATGTTTGTCTGTCATTGAAAATATCTGCAGGCCTGTGCTCAGCACCTATAATAATTGCTAATAATAACTAAATGATTTCCTTTTGACTGCAAAAGTAGGCTTTTTTTCTACGTTATGTGCTCTGCTCTGCATTATAAAAGGGTGACTGAAAATTTTCTGACAGATTAGGAGTAATCTGGATGAGTAACTTAGACACTACTGACTAACATCATCTTCCACATTTCTTATCTTGCCTGGTCAAAAAGGCCTTGTGTCATTGGAAGTTCATATTTTCTTCTAACAGTATGCCAGAAGAATCCATGCAACAGTGCAACAGAAGTGACTCCAACATAATGTCTGCCAATTTTCCCTATCAATATTTTCAAGTTTCTAAAATATTTCTTTGAAGAAAGGACCTGAAAGTTACCCAAAAACATCAATCCATGACAATATTTGAGCTTTTTGTGAGGTCACAGAGAAATAGTTCATTATTTGTTGAAATTTAGCTATGTCAACTATGAGGAATAAAATCTGAGTTCTGATATTTTGGGTTGATCCTGCAGCAAAGCCGAAGAATATTGTTAACTAATGACATGACTTCCAAACGTACTGCTTTTATATCTTTTTAAAATATTTTTGAGATAACAGTTAATGGAAAAAAGTTTTTTTGTTTCTGTTTGTGTTTGGTATTTTTTTAATTGTTGTTGTTTTAGGGGTTTGTTTTTTGTTTCGATTTCTTTAAGATAGAAACATAACTCATACTAAGGGGAAAAAAAAAAAATCACAGAATCACAGAATTGAAGGGGTTAGAAAGGATCTCTGGGGATCATCAACCCTTCTACTAAAGCAGGTTCCCTGCAGTAGGTTGCATAGGAAAGTTTTCAGGTGAGTCTTGAATATCTCCAGAGATTACACAGAGTCTCTGGGTAGCTTTTTTCAGTGTTTTGTAAGTCTCAAAGTAAAGAAGCCTTTCCTCATGCTTTCTATGTTTGTCACATCCCATCTGGTCCTTAACAGTGTTCCAGTTTGTCTGCTCCCCCTTGTTCAGAAGTTCCCTGTCTTTCTTGAACAGAGAAGCCCAGAACTGAACAAAGTACTCCAGATGTGGCTTCACCAGGGTAGAGCAGAGTGGGAGGATCACCTCCTTTGACCACTGATGTTCTTGGTAACAAGGCCCTACTGCTGGCTCATGGCCAATGTGTAGCCCAGGCCCTTCTCTACAGAGTTCCTCTTTATCCTCTCCATCTCCATCCTCTGTACTGATGTGTGTAGTTATTCCTCCCCAGGTGTAGGATTTTACACTTGCCTTCATAAGGTTCCTCTCTACACAACTTCCCAGCCTGCCCAGGTCAAAGATGAGAGAAGGGAACACAGGTGGCAGTAGTCGAAGTAAGTTGGCTTTTTAACCAGCTCTGCTAATTGCAACGTCCACTATAAAGAATCTTTCAGCATTTTAAGCACTCAGAGAGCAGAGAAATCGAGTTTTGGGCCTTCTTTAGAAAAAGTCAAATTCACTTCTTGCACACATCTATCAATTCTACAGAATTAAGTGGATCTCCTCCTTTCCACCACCACTGAAGATGAGTCATAAGGAAATAAGAATTATGAGATTTGTGTCCAGAAGAATAACAAGCAAGGAAAAGCCAAGCTAGAAACTGGACACTCAGTTGTGAATAGTCTGACTTGGGCTCTATAGTCCAGTCCAAGGATTTTTTTTCCTTTCTAGAAAAGTCTTTGAAGCCAGGGGAAAAGGGTCTGCAGCAAAAGGTGAAGATGAAGGTAAGAAGCGTCCTTAGAAGTAACCCAGGAAATGGAAATAAGACACTAAGTCACTCCCTCATCCCAGCTTAACTTCTTAACTTCTAAGTTACAGGGTTAGGCTGGTTCTCACTTGCCTCAATTCCAACCATGTCCCATTTAAGGTATCTTTCTGGACTTCACCCAGACTTGAAATGATGACAGGAATCACCATCAATGAGGACATCTGTTGAGCAGGGGAAGAGAAGGAGCATGACTGTTATAAAACTCTGGAAGATATGTGAAGGTTACCAGGTCAGCATTTTCTCAGATATTTCTGGATTAAAAACTGGGCCCCAGCCAAGTAAAGTGAGACGATGGAGTGTCAAGGACAAGTTGCAAACTTGCTCTTCTCCTTTTGTCTCAGAGATAAAATTATTTTGGGGTGAATGTAAATAATATAAAACTTGCAAAGTAATTTCAGGTCCTAAGAAACAAAGGCAGCAGTGGTACAGTCTGATCTCAGAAAAAGTTCAGCAAAGGAGAGTAAAAGCTAGTGAAAAAGAGAAGTCATGAGAGGAAAGAAAAGAGATATTAATGATGCAGGTGTGCTGGAGAACTGATTGGATAAAGGGACTAGGAAAGATCAGACCAGGTGAGGATCTACCTGTAAATTGGAACCTGGTAGTAATGGTAACCATGAGCTATGACAAGGAGTTCTAATCTAGAGAACTTGTGACAAGCCAGTGGAGATAACAGAACCTTGTGAGGGAATGACAGTGAATAAAAGGAGAGCAGGGTGGTGGAACAGCAAATACAAAGAGCTCAGACACTGAAACGGAGCAAGAATCCTAAGAAACAGAGATTGAGTCTGGATGGATGAAGTGAATAAAATGGGAATGGAGAATGTGGCAGAGGAAAATGAGGACAAGGAAGGTACAGGCTGAGGGCACTGAAGCAGTAATTCTCCATGCAGTAGGTTCAACACACTTGCCTCCAGAATATGAAATGGAACTTGATATGCTAAAGTCTGATGCTGATAAACTGTGAAACTCCAAAGATGTGCCATTTTCTATTGGTGTCTCTTCGTCCTCTTTGAGTTACTAGAAAGAAGTGAGCAACCTGCTATTGCTATCAAGTTTGTTGGCTAAAAGGAATACATTTCTGTATTTGATTTAAGGATCCTGTGCTACCTACTAATTTTGCATAAATCAATCTTATGTCCCAGAATTCAATTTATTTTAAAAATTCAAAAGCTTAAGTAATTACATGCAGACTCACTGCTCCCTGCCCTAAATCCTGCATGAAGAAAGTATCAGTATTGTAGAAAGCCAAACTTGCAGAAGCACAGCAATGCCTGTGCAACTGGAACTCAACCTTCTTGTGTACAATGTAATAAGAGTCATCAATATTTCAGTCTTTAATGGCTTGGTCTTTAATATTAATACTTCTAAATATTTCTTACCCCAATCATGCCTCATCACACATGGGATCAACTTGAGCTTTTCATTGAAGTCAGGATTACATAATAGGAAAGGGAAATGTATTAAAGAAATTCTCCAGAATTAGGGCATGCAAAACAGGGACTTTGTAACTGCAATCGATACCAAACTCTATCAGCTGCTTTCTTGTGTGATATCAGCTTTCTAGAGAAGATTATGATTTTAGGGGCTTAATTTTCTTAGCCCTTCAGTTGTAACGTATATGATGACTTAGAAAAAGGGAAACAAAAAGCCCCTGCAGACACTGACAGAAAGCTTCTGAAAGAAAGGGATTCCCCTCTTGCTCGTCTGCCCTTCCCAGTCTTTTCAGACTTAATTCAAGAAATTTAAAAGCAATGTGCATGCATAGTTGTTCTGGCAACACTAATGTTTTGGGGGCGTTTTTGCTTTAAATCTCAGTTCAATCAAATCTCTTCCTGATGTTTCTGGATCTTGTAAATGAGCAGCTTAAGATCTACTTAGGAAAAAAAAAAAAAAACTAAAGTTGCTAACAGTCCTTGTTAAGATCAGCTGTGAGGCTATCTATACAGAAACTGGGCTTGTAATAACTGATCCTGCCTAACTGTCACTCTAGAAACAAACTTATTCTGAATAGCTCAATCATAGCCACAGCTTCATTCCCTGGAACTAGTCACAGGCAAATAGCTGCAGCAAGTTGGCAGACACTGGTAGGAAATCACCATACCAAAGACTGCTGGCATAGCAGTTATTTACTACATAGCTAGAATATTACAACAGCGCTATCTATTGCATTTTCTCCACAAGTGCCATAAACACAATTCTTCAGGAGAAATAAGTAAGATAGCTCACTGTCAGCAAGGTGCCTTGTTCCTTCTACTTAACAGAATTCCTGAGCATAACAAGAAAAGAATAATCAACACTTTACCTGCTTGTCTTTCTAATTTTCTTCTCTGTTCATTATTCAGATGGTTATGTTGTGACGATGTCAAATCCATACTAAGCCAGAAGACCACCGACAGATAAGCACAAGCCTGCCTACCTGCTACAAATGGATAAAATTGCTTTACATCCTCTTTCCCAATGCAACATCTAAACAACATGCAGAGTTTGCATTTGTTATGCTATGTTACTTGTATTAAGATGTACAAATATGAATGTCAGAGCATTTAAGAGTCAGAAGTAGCAAGCAAGTTTAGCTGTTCTTCTCTCAAAGAGGGAAAAACATATATTGGGGAAAAAGAAAAAGAATGCTTTGATAAATGTTTAAAATTATTTTATGAGTGGTTAAAAATTAGAATCAATTCAAATCAAGATTAGAAGGCTTACGATTATTTGAATGGGAAGGTAGCAGCTAATTTCTGAAGGAAAAGAAAAATTGTACCAGCTCATGTAGTTTGATTTAGCCTGAAAAGGAAGGGAATAACCAATTAGCAAAAGTGGTACACAAGTAGGAAGCAGGACCTATTAACAATACACAAAACAGAACACGTATGTGCAAATGTACAGATACAGAATATACACAGAAAAATGTAATAGGGAAAGCATGACTGGGCAAAATTTAAACAAGAAACTGTAGCATAGTGAGATATAAAAAGTAAAAGAACAACTCAGTGTTCAGCATCTGCAGAAAATCAGACAACCAGTGTTCTCAAGTTCTTGGTGCTTTATTATCAAAAAAGGATTCACTCATAGGATGAGTGAATAGCACAGAACAACCCTGTCTTGTTAGAAAGCATACATGATACACTGCTAATGTTACTCTACAAAAGGCAGAGGGGTTAAAACTTTTCACAGCAGTGCCAGCAGGCATTAACCTATTTCAAGGTGAAAAGTAAATTAGCTGGCTTTTATACAGTACTGCAGCACATTCAACAAAAATACTGCTACTGCATTTATGTTTATCTATGAACTTTGCAATATTATGTGGGAAACAGAGAAGGTAGGCTGAGTAGAACTGAAAATCATTGGGTCTATATTCAGAACACTAAGGAGCATTAGAAACGAGTGTGAAGCAGTGTTACAGACTTTCATCTGCTTATCATCTACTTCAGAAGTATGAAAAAGACAACTTTTCTTCCTATTTAGAAGATGAAAGTAATGGGTTGATTATCAGTCCTTCAGTATTCTGAAGTACAAGCAATGCTGCACTGTAAGATCAATCAGTCTTAAAGGAAATTTTTTATTTTATGTATTTATTTATTTTAGCTCTGTGCACTCTTTTCCCCTTCCAAAAATACTCTAAGTTATACAAAACTACACAACCCGTCTGACTTCAGCATATTAATTCAGTACTACTACCAGCAGTTAAAAACACACAGGTGCAGAACAGTTCAGTTACTGACTTACAGAGTGAAAGGCAAATGATAGAAAATAATTGGAGTAAAACACACAGCAAGCCACACTGACTGTGTTTCAGTTAACATTACCTAAATCTCTGCTTCTATCTTCCTGATGACCACACTCAAACAAAAATCCTTGTTTGTCAAATTGTTTGCTTCACAGTTAGCTGCCAGGCAGTTCCAGATAGAAAAGTTCTGAAGTGTGCATTACATATTGCCAACATCCCCACACCAGCAGCAGTAATAAATCCTGACAGCTGCAGCAGGAACCCAAAGTAGGCACAAGGCACCATCGCTATTTTATGTAAGGGTACAGAAGATCTCATAACAGCAGTAGGTACCTAGTTAGGGGAGCTCCAACCAAAAAGTAACCAATTTCCAAACAGTTTCGTCAGTAACAAGACAGTAGCAAGGTTGTTTTAGTAACTTCTCATTGTCACTAAAAAGTAACTGAAGAACAAAAAGTAATTCTTCACAGACAAAGGCTTCTTCCAAGCACAAAGGGCCAATTTACAAAACAGGAGTGCATTTTGTGCATATGCAAACACATACTCATTAAAAAATGCAGAGCAGTGGCAAGGTACAAAACCTACAGTTGAATATTCAATTCAGACAGCTGTCAATGTACATAAATATAAATGCATCACTCCTCTTTTCACATAAACAAGATGTAGATTTCCTCAACAGACTGCAATCACTTAGTGCCACTGGAACAAATGGAGGTAACTTTAAGACCTCTCTTTGTTTAGAATACAATCTATTCAGGATAGAAACTACCTCTATACTTCACCACTTTTCAGCCAAATTTTAACCTCAGCTGATGTTTCTAGGTGACGCAGAATAAAAATTTATTATACAAGAATACTGAACAAGCCTTACAGAAATCAAAGATGTATCTTATCATATTTCTACATCTAGAAGCTATTAAACAAAACAAGGCCTAATCTACCCTTTAAAGTTAGAACAGCAACACTCAAGTAATCTGCAAAATAAAGCTGTAAACTGGCTGTCCAGACTGAGAATATACTTATAATGTGACAATCTTTTACGAAAGTACTATTTTTCACCCAGAAAAAGAGATATTTTTCACCCAGAAAACACTCCATTATACATTAGACTCTTTGCAGCTAGAAGGACCAAATCCTACCTAGTGAACCTCAACCCTTCATCCTTCCAGGAAAGGCTGATGTTTCACAACTTAGCTGCATGGACTTTGACTTTCAGGCAATGAAACAGTGAGAAATTCAAAAAAAATAATAACTGAGAGATCAAAAAGCAAAAAGGACTAAAATGTAATGTAAGAACATGTGTGTGATTGGCAGCAATCGCTGTTTTTCCATCTTAACCCACAGGAGCTATAAATAAGTTCTATAATCAGAGAGAGAGGTGAGAGAAGAAGAAAGTCTGGATCTAGCAAATTATTTATCTCATAAAATAACCTGACAAGAGTGCTGCAACCAGTGGATCTGTATGCTGGGTTGTTGAAGCACTAGCAAGAAAGTAGTTTTCCAGGAAGAATCCCCTGCACTTTTAATAAAAACCTCCCCAAGGATGAAACTAAAGCAAGGGTGGGCAGGGAAGTGCTGGGTAGGGGGTGGGGTGCAGGCTGACAGAATCCTGCTGTGAGGAGATATAAGGATAAAGAAAAAAATCTGGCTTGAATTAAGACAGTTTCAGAAGGAGCAACTGATATGCCAAAGGGTTTGGGCAGGAAAGCAAATGGAAATATTTCACACATGCCCACATAAATGCTCTAAGGCGAAATCTAAGGGACTTGTAAGAAAAACTCCACACTACTTCCGAGCATCACTTTTGGAAACAAATGCTGTCTGTGGCTATGCTCAAATAATTCCACGTCTAACATGTAATTTACATTCAGAACATACAATCTATAATTGCTTATCAAATTTACTCTACTGTACTATTTTCCATGACATATTATGAGGGTTAATGTTGTACCATAAATGATTCAATAATCAACATTATACTTTGAGCAGGCATGATGCGGAGAATAAGGGAACCAAGACTAATAGAACTTATTTTCTTTCTCTCAATACCTAGAAATAAATTAAGTCATTAAGGTTTTATGTAAGTGTGAAGCTCAGGGTGCAACAGGTTGCATGTGATTTTAATAGCTATTTTATCTCAGTGAGAATGCAAATGAATAGATACAATTTTGGGCCTAAACTTATAGTTACACGAAGTCCAGCATACAGCTTCTATGAGCAATTGTGATGAAAGTATTTTTTTTTTTCTTGTTTAAAATCCCTATTTAAATTCTGGACACAAAGACAATTCATGACAAATGCATGATTAATAAGGATAATTTATTGTTTTTATACCAAAAAATCATTAGAATACTTACAGAGTTTAAGTAATAAAGCCCATTTACATAGTCTGCTTTTTTATGACTTCTTTCCTTTAAGACCTCCTCTTCTTTCTTCCTCCCTTACTTCGTGATTTTTGTTTTCTGCCCTTAAATACAGGTTTGGCAGTCACCAAAATCATTTTTCCCAGTTCTTCATCTTCACCACTTGAGCTACTGTAGCTCTTTTTGTGGTCTGCTGTCTCTGTTTTAGAGGCAATTTTCCTTCTTTTGTCTAAATCTCCGTTTTCTGATTCTTCTGCTGAGGAGTCACTAGAAGTTTCTGAAAGATGCAAACTCCCAACAAAACCACCTCCAAATAAATGCACTTTCCTGGAATCTGAATGCCTTCTTTTCTTTCCACTTTGAATTTCTGTCACTATGTCTTGATGATCTGTGCAGCCTGAAGCACTTTCCCCTTTCTTTTCCTTGTGCTGACTAAGTTCTTCCTCCAAAGCAGCAGTAGCCTCTGAAACTTCATCATTTTCCTTTCTCTTTAGACAACTCACAGCTCTGCGTAGTCTCTGACTTTTAATAGCTTGTTTTTCATGTTGTTCTAATCTGAAGAACGAATCAATTCGAAGCTGAGTCTATTAAAAAAACAAAACAACAACAACAAAAAAAAAAACAGTGAAACAGCTTTGGATGCTTTTGTGGCAGAAAGTTAGTTGTTACCTAAGTTATAGTACAAAGCATTATAAATTAAAGCAGGATAAAGACTAACGAAATCAGAATGCACACAGATAATAAGATGCATGATGCCAGTAATAACGGCACTTTATTATAAATTATGCAATGAGAACTTCGATAGAAACTAAATAATGGGCAAAATGAGTGAACTTTTTTATTAACATTGCGCGTGTGATTTTACGTAGAAACACAGTTCTATGTCAAAACCTGATACACAGAATCTCTGTAGCGTTCTTAAGTATATCCTTGCAAAAAAGTGCTAAGCTGCAAGCTGTTAAAACAACAGAATGTTTATTAAGGGGATACTGTTAGTGCACTTTGTATCTGCATACACTACTGCAACAAAATGCTGTCATTTGAATGGAATTGTATCACGTGCTGCTACAGATTTGAGAGTAGAACTAGAAGTAGTCAAACACAATGAATCTGTTAACTGCAACTAGGCTTGCTGTACAAACTATGCTAGTCCTCTATATTATCCATAAAATTGGCTAAGAGACAGATGCTTCCACAGGTTGATCTAGTCAGTCTGAAAGTATATGGATTTAACCTGTTTTGTGGTACTTTTCACTCCTTTGACTGACAGAGCCAAGAAGATTGGTGTAGACTACATCTCATTGATAGCAGAAGAATGGTTTTTGCAAACCATTTTACTTCTGACTTTCAGAGTATCACAGCATGCATCACTATTCACTTTTAAGTTGTATGAAAGTTCACAGCACATTTATTGGTGAAGAACAATAATATTATAAAGGGGCTCTTGATAAATGGTTCATTCCGCACTTCTCCTTACAGAGTGAGTGTGATATTCAATGGTCCATTTCACTTAAAATCTTCACTAAAATCTTAGGGGCATTCTTATGAATCATTTTAAGATTCAATATAGTGTCTTTTAAAAGCACTAAATGTACTGGAGGTACTTATAGTTCTATTTATGTCCTGCAACCTGGATTTGAGGTAGGTACATGATAAAGCTTTATATCAACTATGAAAATTGCAACCACTGAAATTAAGTAGAATGCCTCACAATAAACCCGATCATAAGGAAATAAAATCTAGAGAATCATTTAAAGATTTTAAAATATAAATATACATTAAGATAAAAAATGTCCAAATCCCAGTTTCTGAGAAACATACAGCCTTGCTGTTCATTTCAAAATGATTCTTACATTTTTCCAGCTAGCCTTAAGGTATACATTGCTCTGTACCATACCTGTTGCAAGTTCAGCTGTTTTATCACAGGCAAAAGGATGTCATCTGTCTTTGCCCTAGTCCAGCCAAAGTGATCTTTACAGAATATGCAGAAAGCTAAGGAACATTACAAAATGGATATTGCTACTATTTTGTAAACACAAAAATAGAAATTCTGCAAATAACCAATGCCTAGAGGAAAGTTTCTTCAGAGATTTTACTACTACAAAAACAGAAAATATCTTAAGTTATTAAAGCCAAGTTATGTGGATGATTCTAATGTTACGCTATGTATTTCCATCATGACATTACATCTCTGTTAGGTACAGAACTCTAACATCAGCATTTCCAAAAGCATGTCTTCATAAAGAAAAAGTGCATTTTGGATATGCAGCATTGTCATAAAACACAACATCTATAAATAAACCTTATTTTTACACTTACAAACACTGGAATTTTGGTTTACTGTTTAAAACACTATTAACTCTGTATGCGTTGCCATCACTTTTCAACAATTCACTGCAGCTCAAGCTACAACTGTTGCAAGAAATGGCATTATTGCAAAGAATGTGGTGAATAAACAGGTTTTGAAATCTACTTGTGACAGTATAGTTATAGAATTATAATGTCACAAGTTAGTCAGTTCAGCAGTAAGACCCTGCATTCAGAGTGAAGCAGAAGGGCAGCACAGCCTCAAATGCCATGTACATATATCTACATTTTTTTTCAATTCCAGAGTTAGTATCAGTGTAGGAAAGTACATTTGGATGGGGGTAGGGAGGTCCGTCACACCAGTGAGATGCTAAGAATTTGACACTCTGTTACTGAGGCACTAGCTAGCCATACGAACTTTAAGCTGAGTACTTTTAGCTAGCAATTCCTGTCTTATAGTAAAAGGATATTCTCTAATCTGCTCTACATCAGGCTTTCCCCATGTGAATGAGCCCCTTGTCTCATCCACCACAGGCTTCAGGTATGCTTCTGCCACTGCTGGATTTGGGAAACCTGAAGAAAGCTGCAGCTCCCGCAATTTCTTCTTGACTTTGGTATCACGTGGATTAGGTCTGATTTTCTTGTTCTTCTGAGCCTCGTTCCACCACTCACTGAAAAACAGAGAAAAGTATTCACTTGTTCCCATAAAATGTAACTTGAATTGCCAACAGCCACTTTGCTATCTCAAATGGCTTTAATCAGACTCCCTAAGACTCCCTACTTCAGCTACTGCAAGATATGAGATAGGAGATTTTCAAATGATAATGGCCAAAAGGGCATAAGAATCTGAAAGTAAAAAGGACAAAACATACAGTAAACACAGCCATTGTCAGCCAAGGTAGCAAACATTACCTGGATTCCACTTTAGAAGCCAAAGGGAAGGACACCCCACATGTAACAATCATTCTTTGGAGGTTTTTTTGGTATAAAAACCAGAGATCAAAAAAAAAAGAACATACAAACTTCTAACCACTCTGAGCAACCTGGTTTAGTGGCATCACAGATTCATAGAATGGCCTGGGTTGAAAAGGACCTCAAAGATCATTTAGTTTCAACCCCCCTGCTATGTGCAAGGCCACCAACGACTAGACCAGACTGCCCAGAGCCACATCCAGCTTGGCCCTGAATGTCTCCAGGGATGGAAGGTGCTTCTGCGTACAGTGGGGGAGTTGGATCTGGATTATCTTTAAGGTCCCTTCCAACAAAAAGATTCTACGAGTCTGTGATTCTCACAACGGCCAATACAATTGGCTTGGCACACTTCAAACTTTGTTCTTCCCCACAGCCTACCTGTCTGTCTCTTTCCAGGTCATCAAGTCTCTTTTCTCTATGGGCAAGCTACAGCACCTTCTCACATGCTCAGGGAGAAACAACCTTGACTCCACTAGGGATCCAGCTCTGCAATGAACTTGGAGGCAGTTGCACAGTTTTAAAGCTGTTCTATTGTCTTCACTAGTCTTGCTGTAATTGCTGCATCAACACATCGTTTTGATTACCTGCCATTTCAAGTACCGATACAACGGATTACATATTTTATAGTTCAATTAGCCTCCTTGATGATGGTCACACATTTTGTTGTATACTTAAGAGCAGAAAGTATATTGACCAACATTGACATTACAGAAAAATATGAAAGAAAAACAATAAAATCCAGCAAAGCATACGCGAATTTTAGAAGAGGTTCCAATCCATGTCCAGGAAATTCATTTAAGATCTCCATCGCAGTTACAAAGCCAACATTCGGGATTCCCTCAGTGTAGTCACTTCCAAGCAAGTATGCCAAATTAATTAACTTGTTTCGATCTAACCCTGTGAAAGAAAGAGTGTAAACCAAATACAGCCACCGCATTCCTCATATGTTCCCTTACAAATTAAAAATACTGTATTTTCTGAAAGACAAACAACGAAAGAAATATACATGCATTAACATCCAGATTTGCTGAATTATATTCTAGAGCAGTGTTAATAAACTACTGCTACCTCAAGCACCATAGCTGCATTTGCTAATTAAGCACAGTTTGCTATTTTGCTCTTCTCAAGTAAACTACAGTGGCATATCTAAGATAAGTAACAATAAGTAAAATAATAGCCTTCTCTTTGTTGAGAAAAGAAAACAGAGATACATTTTCCACTGCACGCTGAATTTCCCATACTGAAGGTATTAAAATATGATTTCAAAGATCATAGAGTAATCTTTCAAAGATCAGAGTGAGTTTAAAAAGAGTTATAGATTGTTTTTTTTATTATTATTATTGTCTTGTTTATGCAGAACTAGTTCATATTTTCTTCAATATACTACATAACATTAAAGCTCAACAGTTCATCATAATTAGCAAGAATCTGATTAGGAAGTTCAAGAACAAAAAGCTGTCGATATTAACTGAAAAACTTTCTTACATAGTACGTAGGATTCCTTTTTAATTGTTATGTGTCAACATATCCAAAATAAATTTCCATCTGGCAATAAAAACAGCAATCCAACTGAATGTCTTTAGAGACTTTCCAAAGAACGCTGCATTTTATGCATGTGTTATCTGTTTCTGTAGGAAATCCAACTTCAGAAAGATACATGGCAAAAAAAAGTGTCTTATCAAAGATTGTATCTACAGTCACTGGCCCTTACCCAGCTGGTTTTGAAAATCAACATACTGGTAATATTCCACATATTTGTTTTGACTGAAGAAATTTTTATAAACATGCCGTGCACCAAATAACCAAACATCACTATCATCAGTGATTGTTCCAGAGGTCTGATCAGTGAGGTCCAATACAGCACACTGTGCCTCTGCTTCCATAGGAGCTTCAATGTACGGAATGCCGAATAGGCGGAGAAGCTCCTGTAGGATGAAGACAAAACAGTTAATACTTCATCTGAAAAATGGATTGTAATATACGTGACTCAAAAAAAGCCAATTTTACAGTTAGGAGGTATTTAATATTTCAGAGCAAATCTTAATTTCCACTAAAAAGTACTAGGCACAGAGACTGAGAATCTCCTATTTTAATTATACAAAAAAATTAAGTAGGAAGAAAAGGAAAACATTCGACTGCAGGGGTGGGAGGGCATGTCTTATGTTGTATCAAACTGAAATGATTCAGTGAATTACCTGGCTTTCCAAGAACATTTGCCCCGTTACAGAAGAAGCAACACGCTCCTGCTGTTGTTTTTGAGACTGAAGCATTTCCTGTTCAGCAGAAAGGTCATTTTCTAATTCTTCTAGATCTTCCTGAAAAATAAAACAAGTTTTTGGTAATTTCAACCATTTTATACTTTATCTAATAATACCTGTGTCCACAACTAGTAGTATAAGCTCCATTAATTCATGTCGGGAAACTGTCATAGCTTCTCTTATGCGGTAAATTATAAGATCATACCTAAGTCTCCTCATCAGGAGGACACTTCTCCTGATTTCAGGTATTGTTTAATTGTCATCTTTAAAAAAATGCCCCTACAGAATTTAAATAAATATACTACAGTTACGAAAAAGTTCCATGATGATTTTCCTTGAAAAATATTTTGCTACATAGCACTTAACTATCAGCTTAAGACAAGTATCAAAGTTACCAAACTGATGTCTTGCCACTCATCTCCTGCATCTCTAATATTATCTTCTTTTTCAGCATTCTGACTGCTTGCCAGTTGCATTTCATCAGAATCATTCAGCAAGTTCTGTGTGACTATATCATGTCCATCTTCCTCCCTTTCTGAAAGTGCTGTTTTATCACCCAGTCTCTCATCATATTCAGTAGAAAATTCATCCTCGTTACTGATCACATTGTCCACTTCAATGAAGCTTCCTACAAGGGGAGAACAAAGAGCTCAGCTTTTTGCTGTTTGTTTAAAAAAAGATGTGTTTCAACTTATGTTTTAGTGGGGCAGTGGGTTGGTTTGTTTTTTGTTTTGTTTTGAGGTTGGGTTTGCTGGCTTGGTTGTTCTTTTGCCTTTGCTATATGAAAGAAACAGATAAAAGAACTGTGAAACAAACAAAGTAGTTAACCATCCATATCTAAGTTAATCGAGTTCAAGGTATAGAAAAACAATCTTTCCTGCTTTTCCATATTGTGTACCCAGGGACGGCACTATAGGGAAAATATAGCTCAGATTTTCTTCCCAATTCCAGTGCATGTAGGAATAGATCTGTTTAAAAGCATTTCTTACAAGGAAAGAAAGGTTAAATTCAATTGATTTTAAATACAGTAAAGGTTAAATTCAATTGATTTTAAATACAGTAAGGCTTTATCTTTTTATCTTTTTGATCAATTAAAATGCACATACCATCAGAATCACTGTCTTCAGACTGTAATGTCCCTTGTCTTCCCTCCTTAGGACCTTGTGTTGGTGGAAGAATTTCAGTTTCCTTTTGTACCTCAGATATACTCTCTTCTGTTTGTGAATGAACTTCCTCTGTAATTTCACAAATTTTCAAGTTTTCCTCAGTTTTAGAAAATCCTGCTGTTTCACTGTGAACCAAAGGCCCTATACTAGCTTGTGAAGAGGAACAGCTTGGCTTCTGAATGCACAAGTTCACATCCTTGTCTTCCAAATAAGTTGAGTCTATTTTTGAACCATTTAATTCTGTGTCTACAACTTCTTTCCCTTTTTCAGCATCATCAACACAAGAGTAATTTTTATCTGTGGACATACTGGTGCCCTTGGGTGTAATACAATTTTTTCCCAACTCCTGAATCTTTTGTCCAAATTCAATATCCTGCACAATTGCTTGGTTTGATGAATGAATTGTAGATATAAGTATTTCTTTATCCTCTTTAACTTCAGGAATCTGATCTTCCTCATCTGAGCTACTAAGAAGAAAATCCTTCGCTTTTGACCTTTCTGTTTGCACTCTATCAGCTCTAACAGTAACAACTTCCTCCTTTTCATCATCATCATTCAGAGCTTGCTGAATTGCCCGCAGTGTTCTTGGAGACACACTGCCTTCTTCCATTACAGACCGAGTCAGGTTTAGTCGTTCTTTATCTTCATTTCCCAGTTCTTCTTCTGAGCTGCTTTCCACCATTGCTGCCTGGATAGCAAGCAATGTTTGGGGAGAGGGTGGTGCTGTGACTACACTGTTATCTTTGTCTGTCTGCAACTTGTCAGATGCAATTAACTCTGCATTAGCTGGAGATTCATTTATTTTATTCAATTCAGACTTTCCTGATGAGGGTCCTGCAGTAGCTTCCAAGTCTTTACTAGCATCTTCTTTTGCTTGAAAACCTGAAAAAAATAGTTTTTTTTTAAGATAAAATGCTGTTTTATACTAGAATTCCACACTACATAAGAAAAAAAAAAACCCATCATTTGAAGATTAATAAGCCAGTTTTCTACATTTGCCAATCATAGTCAATTATGTCTAACAGTACAGTAAATTTCACTACATACACCTGTAAACAATATTCAGGTCTTTTCTTAAAATTAAAAGCTGCAGACTGCACACAGTGAATAAAAGGTTTTATAAAGTGAAGACCTGACATACCTTTTATTAAGATATAGTGAGAAGAGTCTTCAGAGATTATCCTCCTAGATTCCATTTCTTTCACAAAACCACCTTCATTGTCATATTGTGTTTGGATTTGACCCGAGTGCTGCTGATTCAACTCTTTTTGTACATTTTCTATGCAGCGACTGAGGTGACTCTTCTTAAGCAAACCCCTAAGCTGGTACTGGGAAAAGTCACTGGAGTCCTTAATAAAAAAAAAAGAATCCAAGTCAATTTTTCAAAAAATGACACTAACTGCACCTTTAAAGCAAGCACAATTACCATGCTCTGGAAAGCCTTTTAATAGAAGTATTTTCTTATTTCCTTTAAGTAGGCAACATTTGGCATTTACTGACTGCTGCACTCACAAGTGACAGTGCTATTACTGCTGCAATACACAACAGAATTCTAAAAGATACCATTAAGGAGTTCTGAGTGCTGGTTAAACATAATGAGATCTAAATGATGTGATCAACAAAAGCGAGCTGGCTAACAGAACTAGTCCCCATCTTAACAACAATGCAATTATAATAGAATCCACATGTGGGTAGTTTTTAAGATGCTGTCCACCACAAAATGGTGCTTAGCTTGCACTGAGGCACAAGCTATCATTTCATCTGATACTGTAATTTAAAAATATTTGTGCTCCAGAAAGCCATTCTACAAGTAGCACTGTAGGATTCCCCACTCATCTCAGAATGGCTTTGGTATCACATCTAAGTTACAAACATGCAGGTCTTTTTGCAGTTGTGAGCTCCCCTAACAATCTGGGGGTTTGTAATCCAAGCTGCACTCGTTCTGCCTGACTTATCTGCATTAGCAGCAGGTTCCTTGTAACTGAAACATCGGGCATAATGCTGCTGAGGGATGACACACAGCATGCTTTTTTCATTCTTGCCAAACCAAATTAGCAATTTTAGTAGAAACCAAGAGATAGGACACTGAATGCACACATGGGAAGGATCTGTTAGGAGTCATTACTTGCTTGCTTTTCCTTCCCCCTTATCATAACATTTCTCATTAAATAGAGTATGTGAGTAAAGCTCTCCAGATGTGATTCATCTGTAATAGAACCACCACAATGGCTTGACACTATTTTAAATATTACCTCTGGCATTGCTTCAAATAATGTTCTGTTTCGTTTAGTAAGTTCCTTCATATCAGACAAGATCTCATGCTTTACTTCTGGAGGCAGCTTGTTAAAATCTTCTGAATCTATATCGATAGCATGCGGGTTTTCAAATAATTGATCCTATTTAAAAAAAAAAAAAAAAAAACAGGAAAAATATACACATTAATTTTGTATGACAGCCTAAAAACAGTGAAATATTTTCATCATCCTTTCAAATTAAAAAAAAAATAAAAAACACCTATAAAATTTTTGTTACCATTTCCTATACTGTTTGATGCACTTCATATAAACTACAACTTTAAAACTTGGTTTCATTCTTTCCATAAAAATATATTCAGCATGAATCACAGAAGACAGTTTTAGAGCCTCAGCAAGCCTGGTTTTATCCTTCCAAAGAGGTTTGGTTATTTTGGCTTTTTTTTTTGCAAACTACTTCCAACACTGACAGTGTTTCCAAGAGAGTTTATTTAATGTTGGTTTTGTTTGTTTGTTTGTTTTTGAAAGAAAAAATAATTTTACAATTCATTACACATTCTGCTTCGCTGACGTGTTTCTTTTCTCCTCTTCCTCTAAGATCAGCGCATCAGAAAGGAATACAGAGTTTGTCTGTGAAAACTCAAGGACCAATGCATTTCAGTGTCACTCTGTACTCAGGTAAGCATGTAAATTCTGTTCAATATGCTGCTTATCTGCACATACACGTGAAAAAATGCACACATTTCATTTTTTTGATATTACAGAAGGCACACTCTTATTCCAGAGAAAGTAGTTTAAAATGAAGACATAAAAATTCCTATTCTGCTGTGTTCAAGTGAAGAAAATTCCCTTTATGTTTTTAGATTTGTAGGAAATCATGGCATTCTTAAAATCACCTTGCTTACTTGGTCAGTAATGCTATAGTAACACCTATACCATCAAACTCAAACTTTTTTTTTTTATTTAAAGAAGTATAGCATTTAAATGACAGGATAATTCACAATAACAAGGGAATTAGGATGTATTTACCTGTAGTAGTTTTTTCTGGGTCATTCTTACTTCCCATTCTTTTTCTTCTTCCTCCTCTGAGCTAAAAATCGCAGCAAGAAAAAAGACATTTCCTCAGGTAAATGAAATGTGTATTTTAAGCAAAAGGATATCAGCCTTCCCTCCCTGACACTTGGAAAAAAAAAAAAAAAAAAAAAAAAAAAAAAAAAAAAAACAACAAAAAGAAACCCACACACAACAGCAAAGTACACAAACACAAATAAAATAGCTTAGACTGAAGAGGACTTCAGAGAACATCTAGTTACAATCCCACAGCTGTGGGCAGCGTTGCCACCCACTAGATCAGGCTGCCCAGTATCCTATCCAAACTGGTCTCGAACACCTCCTCAGATAAGACAACCTGCCCAGGCATCCTGTTCCTGTACATCACCATCCTCTGAATAAACAATTTCTTCAAAACATCTAACCTAGATCCCCTTTGGATTTAAAGCCATTCCTCTTATCCTGTTACTATCAAATCATTTAAAAAGTCAGCCCCCTCCTGCTTGTAAATTCTCTTCAAGTACTGGAAGGCCACAATTATGTCTCTCCAGAGCCTTCTCCAAGCTAAAGAAGCCCAGCTTCTTCAAACCTTCTTCACAGGATAGGTGCTCCTGCCTTCTGATCATCTTTGTGGCCCTCCTCCAGATCCACTCCAACAGCTCCACATCCCTCCTGTACTGGGGACTCCAGGCCTGGACACAGTACTCCAGATGGGGCTTCACACAGGCAAAGCAGTGGTGGTCAATCATCTCCCTTGCCCTTACTTAAGATGTCACATATTTGACAAATACGTCTACTTCTGCTTGGTGCATCTACACCACTGAATGAGGGGACAATAACCAGCATCCAGCTGTCACACACCAGCTACCCACTTGAACAGTCAGGTTCATTTACTCTCATAGATGTAGACATAGTAAGCGAGGGAGCACTTTCTGCCCTCAACAAGAATTCAGGGTAGAAATCTAATCTACAGACTGAAAGCTTGTTCTATTAGTTACCCTAAAATAAATAACTAGAAGGCCTCTGGATCCAAGCTACAATCCAATCTGTCCAAAAAGAAATTGAAATGAAACACAAACTGAAAATATGCTACATATTAAGGAATCATATGGATCAAAAATCTTCCAACAACTTCAAAAACAGTATCTTATATTCTTATCTGATTTTACTATAATCATTTAAGCTATTTTTCTTAACTCTACCTACCTGTTTTTCTCTTCATCCTCTAAAGAGGGCAATACATAAATATCATCAATTTCTTCTCTTCGAACTTGTGAAATACTGGGATAAACTTCATTGCTTAGGGAAAAAAAAAGAGGACAACAATGATTTTTAGCTACATAAAACTTAGCTGCCACATATAAACAAAGGCAAAATAATTTTTATTCCTGCCTTTTGCCTGAAAGAGCAGCTTTGATAGCTTGTCTCTTCAGAAATGTTTTCAAGAGTTTCTCTGCAGTTTTCCTGGAATCACTGACGGCCAATTCTTTTCTGTGCCTTCGCTTTGCCTGTGAACAAAAAACACCAGTTAATTTTGCTGGATGCTGAAGATATGCATTGAGCAAACAACACTTAGAATTCTGCATGCTGAGCCTATGAGCAACTCCTAACTCACTCTACATAGACATAGCCTTCAAATCCTCTAAGTCTGGGTCAGTGGCCTCTGTGGGACTGCAGTGTTTTTCAGGTTCTGGGTACAAATGCTTGCAAGAGTCATGTTCAGATCCATTCTGAAGTAGAAGTCAGTCTTTTGCCATCATCCACCTCTCTACAATCTGGTAGGTGTGAAAATCAAACCTGAAAATATATCAATCAAAAGGGAGAAGCTGCATGCTCCAAAAGCTGACAAAGACTGGGATTATGAAGAACATCTGGACAACAGCCTGCTTCAAGCCCTCCCACCCTCATGGCTGAGAAGTATAAACAGAATCCAAGGAATTTTAAAATGTCTACTCAGTATCAACAGACATGCACCATATTTTATATTGCAGTGACTCAGAAAAGGTACATACCAAGGTCTGTCTCTTCAGAAGTGGTGCTTCCCCATCAAAAACAAAGACAGGCCGAATTCGAAAGAACAGCAACTTGCAGAGTCGATTAAAAAGAGTGAGGAGATGAGCATTTTGTATAGTATTACCATGACGATCTCTGACTCCCTTTATTGCCTGGTTCAACCAAATACTGATATCTTAAAGAATGGTTAAGAGGAGATAATATGATGTAGACACAAGATTGCATGTTAACAGTTTCTATAAAGTGCAAATTTGACCTAGTGGCTTGCTGTTCCATGCTTGGCCTACTGAACCCACTGTTATCCATATATTTGTGAACTTCAGAGAATAAATCCTGCTTGTCTTGCCCTGGACAAAAAGCAAAATTGAAACTGCTGTGCAGCAAGCATTATTTCCTCAGTAATGTTTATAAATAAAAGAAGGATAACTTATTTCCACATCTTTCTAACATTTTTCCAGTATTTAACCAAGTTATATGATAGGAAAGCTCATACAGAAGTTACAAACAATTAGCAAACAGTAATTTGAGTTCGAAGGAACCTTTAAAGGTCACCTAGTCCAACTCCTTGCAAGGAACAGGGACACTTACAGTAGATCAGGCTGCTCAGAGCCCTTTCCAGATTGATCTTGAATGTCTCCAGGGATGAGGCATCCACCACCTCTCTGGGCAACCTATTCCACTGCTTCACTCACTACCCTTATCATAAAAACTTTTTTCTTTATTTCCAATCTAAATCCCACTGAAAATGGTTTTAGTTTGACCATTTCCCCTTGTCCTGTCACAGGAGACACTGCTAAAGTCTATCTCTTTCCTTCTTATAGCCTCCCTAAAGAGCTGCTTTCAGGTCTCCCTGGAGCCTTCTTTTCACAAACATGAACAGCTCCAGCTCTCTCAGCCTGTCCTTGTAGGAGAGGCGTCCCACCCCTTGGTTCATTTTCATGGTGCTCCCCTGGATGTACTCAAGCAGGTCCACATCTCTCCTGTGCTGAGGACTCCACATTTGGACAGAGTACTCCCGGTGAGGTCTCAACAGTACATAGTAGAAGGGCAAAATATCAAAGTATTGTCACAATTTAAAATAATTTAAAACAAAACAAACTTGTTTGCATAGAATTAAGTGAAGTGGTTTGAATAAATTCTCTTACAAATTCGGCTCCTCAGCCTTACTTTAAAGGATACCAACAGCAAGAATTTTTCCTTCCAGTATTTGTGGGTTTATAGGTCTTCCAGTGCACTCCAGCAGTTTCCAAAGCCCTTGAACTCCCATTGTCCTTTCTTAGCTATCTTGAGAGAGAAGAGTCCATGAGGCACAAAGTATAAAACCCAAGAACCGTATGAACCGCTGGAGTTTTACCACCGAAAACTCAAGAACATTGTTACCACAAATAACCCAAAGCCGCTAACGCCGTCCCGTCGCTTCGGATGGCTCCCTCAGGGTTTAACACCAGAGAACCCCCAGATGTCGGTCAAGCGCGACACGGGTCTGCGCTCCCCGCGGCCGCCCAGTACCGCCCAACCGGTCTGACCCCAGCGAGAGACCGAGCGGCCCTACGGACGATCTTCAGGGCGCGCAGCACCGCTCACCTGGCGGCGCAGGAAGAGTCTGGGGGCGGAGTCCGACGCGAGAGGGAAACACGATCCAAGCGGAGAAACCCCCCACGGTCCCCCGGCCTCCCTCTGCGGAGTGCGCATGCGTGCTCACCGCCCTGCCGCGCTGCCCGCCGGGAAGGGCAGCTGGGGGGGTGGAGCCGGCGCTGCGATGGGCGGGGCGGCACCGCCCTATACGGCTCTTGCTAGGGGAGGGAGCTCAACCTTTTAAAGCGTTAAATTCCTCATCCAAATTCAGCTTGCAGAAGTTTTCACCTGGAAAGCGCCCACGTTTTCAAGAGCTTTGTTCAACCATCAGCTTGAAAGCTGTAGGATGCTAAGTAGCAGAAGGGTATGCAGCCTTCTGAGCATGCAAAGCAGTCCTGACCCCAGGGTTAGTCAGCTAAACAGGCTGGAAAGAAGGAATAAACTCTTAGGAAGAGTGGTGAGGTACAGGCACACACTGCCATGGGAGGTGGTGGAGTCACCCTCCCTGGAGGCGCTCAAGAACTGTGTGTCTCCTACCAGCATGCAGGCTGGTGGTTGGATTTCATGATCTTGCAAGTCCTTTCCAACCTTAATGATTCTGTATGCTAATCCAGTCCTTCATTTACCTATTTTCCTGAAAGTCTTCCATCAACGTATCTTACCAAGATAAAAGAAACAAGACAAAATAGAAAACAAATTTTATTGAGTGCACAGAAGTCCGAAAGTCTCCCTCCCATTTTTGGTTAACAATAGCATCAACCTACAAAAACCCTGCATTACATGACAAATCATTTTATGTAAAAAATAAAAATCCTTGAGCAGGTATGAATGTCTGCACACAAAGTTACAGCCATAGAGATGCATTTGGGTGAACAGTTGAATAAACCAGAAAGAAAAGGAAAAAAAAAAAAAAAAAAACTGCACGTGGACACCCGAAAAGACATGGATTGTTTGCTGGCATAGAGGTATATCATAAGGGCTGCCAGCAGTTTTGGGCACTTGCATCACCTTCATACAAAATTAAGAGAGCAGCACAAAAACAGCAGCAGTTTTAAGACTGAACAAGGAAAAGAATTGCCAGCAGAACACTCTGTTCAGCCAGCTCATTGGGCTCAGGTTAAATGCAGCTTTATAAAACTGATTTTCACAAGTTTGTGTTACACAGTCACTGCTCACCAGAGCTCACAGGATAGGAAACTTGCTACTGTATCCACAGAGCAAAAGCAGTAAATGACCCTCTTCAAACCTTCCTTGCCACCAGCAATTCTTCTCAGTCTAAAACAGGTATCTCACTATGGGAAAAGTAACTGGGATCTACCTACAAAACACCATTATCTGACTCAGAGAATTCTACTGACAACTAGATTGAGAATATACATTCATTTTGTTAATCTGACAAGGTTTTCTAACCTATGTAATTTCTTTCTTTTCACTGGATATCAGCAGCCTTAACAAAATGGAATGCTAAAAAGGAAGGCAAATGTTTACTTTTATCCTTATACCATATGCAGTATAAGCCTTTTTATAAAGTCATATAGTACATTTCCATGCTTCTGAATATCAAGTATTTTCAATGGAATCTGTTGCATTGGCTAATTTCAATCTGCTGTTTTATTCTCACAGATCAGGATATAATATAGTCATTTCAAAGTAAGTGATTGATTTAGCTGTCATATCTGCTTTTGATTACAAAAGTACAATAATCTGTGCTTATCTGTCAGTTCATGTATCAGATGCCATCCACTGCAACCATATAATTCATAACTGATCTAAGGATTACAAAGCTGTATTTTATACCATATTTTCTATTCATACGTATCCTAGGACTAATAAACCCCTACTCTGTGTTGATCAAAACTGACCTCGATGTATAAACTCTGTTACCTGAAGTTCATTCTAATCATCTCCATCGTAATCATTATAGCTCTGATACCCACTGTTCCTTCTCTCACGAAGACTAGATTTTTTCCACGTAGACTCTGGATGGAAACCAGCACTGAAAGATCGACCCAGTCGTCCATGCTGTTTTTTAGAGATATTGTCTTCACTTTCAGATTTGGCAATACCTTGTCCTTGTGTTAGGGATTGCTTATCCTGTCTGACACTTCCAAATGGAAAATTCCAAGGACCAAATCGTTGCCAGTTAAGTCTCTGAAAGGCGATGATGCAGTGAAGATTTCCTCCAACCTAACAAAATTTAAAAAGTTCTTTGTTATAAATTACAAATGTGCTTTCGTGCTTAAGTAGATATCTGAAATAAAGATCTTCTCAGGTAACAGAATTATTTAAAAATAAATAAATCAATCAGCAACAAACAAACCAACAACTATAGCAATACAAAAGCATACCCACAAAACAAAAAACTTTGCTCAATCAATTCTGATAATTTCCCAGAGGTGCTGGAATGGGCAGTTGAGTCACCATCCCTGGAAGTGTTCAAGAAATGTTTAGACGTATTACTGTTTTACTGCCAAAATATTGGTGGTAGGTGGACAGTTGGACTAGATGATCCTGGAGGCGTATTCCAACCTTGGTCAGTCTATGATTCATCTGTTTTCTTTCTTATCTTTTTAAATAATCCATTTTATTCTTCATGGTTTAGTACAAACTATCGCTAACACAACCTATGTTCTGTTAGTCTTTTTATTTTCCAGTCATCTTCACACAAATTGTCTGTTCTGGTCTCTTGTCATCATGCTGACACCATCTTCCATATCACCACATTTCAAGTAATCTCTCCAGCATATTATGTCAGACTTTCAACCTGCAAATTAAAAATAGAGTCCCCCCTCCCACACACAAGATAGAAGCTTATCTATAGAAAGAAATACAGTAATATATATAGTTATGATACATAAATAATACATAACAATAAATAAAGTTAACAGATGCACATGCATTCTTCTGTCTGATACTCTACCGTATTTTCTTTCCAGACTACATGTAGCATCAAGAGGATTCAGAGGATCAGTCTATAATTTATCTATAGAATATTTCCATACTTGCTGCAGCTTCATTTTAAGCCAACAAAGGTTAAATATTTTTACCAAATATATGGTATAGGCAGACAGCCTAGCATATGCCAGGTTACTGTTAAATCATGTCATGACTGCATGTGAGTACACACACTTGACTTTTTCCTTCTGCAATCACTTCATAAAAAGTTTTTAACTGCTTAAGTATGAACAGGTTTGCCAAAATTTATCACAGATTTTCTTCCTTCTAAATAGCATTTACCTTACCTTCTTTGTTTTCCGATGCTGCAGTCCTCTCTCTAGGTGTCGAATATCTAGGTACTCTGGATTTTGGGTGTTTAGGTCAGTGACAATATCTGCCCACCTACAAAATAAGATTACTACTCTGCTGAGAATTTGAAGCCTCAAAACCATGCACCTCCTTTACACACAGAAGAATAGAAATCTGAGGTTTTAAACAGTCTTACAAGGAATTTGAAGATAAATGTGTAAAATATAAACACCTCTGTACTGGAGACATCAAGTTAGATATAAAAACTTAATTTTTTAAATTGAAGCATTCACAGACATTGTATTGCTCTTAGTTAATAGCTTCCAAAACGAATAATTGCATCAAAAGTCATTTGTTGTGTTGCTTGCCAACTCACCAACTTTTGAAAGGAAGAAGCTAAATGTACTTTTGGCAGAGAAAAGTTCCTTTTACTGTACCATACCTTTTGCTGTTGCATTGCATTTCAGTCAAATTCTTGTTTTCCTCATCCATTAAATGTTTCTACTAGACAGTTTTACCCGTAACCCACACTTCCATTCTGTTCAAGTTCCACCTGTAATTCAATCATTCCCCATTTACTCAGCTCTTCACAATTTCATAGCTCTTTCTAGACCAGTGCAAATAAATATCCCTGTATTTTACACATCTTTATGTCTATATATCACTTTTTCAGTTCTTCAAATGTCAAATTACACATTTCTCTTTTATATCACCTTCCAAGTTCAGAAAACAGATTTCTGTCCCAACCTTTTTCCCCAGAGACCTCACCATGAATATATTGGTTTTATGTATGTATAAACTAATGATGCAGCAGATTACAGGCTGTACCTACATCTAAACTAGATCCTGAGACATCCAGTGCTCAGTCAAGGTTCACACAGCCTATAAATCACATCTGATACGATCGCAGGCACATTACATGTCTTCTCTGCCTGACTAATATGCTCTCACATCTAAGAGAAACAGACTTGGTTTTCCTCTGTCCTGCCACATCTAAAATTGCAAAGCTAGCCCTGAAGTCAAGATGAAGCTTCCCATTAAAGCAACCGCTTCTCTTAAAACTACAGTATATTCATTCAGTAGAAATGAATTCAGCAGAGAAGTCTGTTAGTGGTCCTTAGGAGACACATACAAATTGCTTGCTCTTTAAAAATGCCTAACTTAAAAATTCTTATGAAATAACATACCTTTTACAGTGTATTGTTGGATGTTTTCTGCTCGGCTCTCCAATTAAGATCCAGTATTCTACTTCTTGCTGCAAAACACGACCTCTGTTCAATAGAAGATATAATGCTAGTAAGACTTACTGTGCATACTAAAAAGGAAGAAAGATTAAAATATTCATATAAATTACAAAGATGTTATATATATATCTAAGCAAGACAGAAATACTACTGCTTACTATTCAGAGAAAAGACATTTTCAAAATTGCTTTACTTAGTTGAAAGGCAATCTAGTGTAAGATCTAAATATAAACATACCTACAAGAATACAAGTAAGAGTTGTGAAGAGCCATGTGAGAGGGGAACAAACACTTCACCCCCCAGTTTTGACAGAGCCATCAATTAGCTCCTTCTACTATTTTTAAACTACAGCCCCTCTAACAGTTATTATTAAAAGAAATAGGGTAACATATAGGAAAATAACTCCTAATGTTAGTCACTTTCTCCTGAGCACCTAACGTATAAAAACAAAGCAAACCAAGCCCTCAACTGATACTAATTCACATTTGCGTGCAACTTTCCAGAAATTCATGGCCTGTAGTAACTGTTTCGGGAAAAGTTTGTGACAGGCATTAGGGCAGACAGGTCACATACATAGCCCTGTGCCTTCCTGTGTGCAATTATCCAATGAAAAGGTACTTCAGTTTCAACAGTAAC